CCGTAGCATGACATAATTACCAAGGGGGTTGTCTTGGATTTTGTGGGGTGGCAGTACTTATTTCTCAATCTTCAAGGAAGGCAAGGAGGCAGGATACTTTTTTCCTGTTCATTTTCAGGTGACAAAATGCATCAAAAGGTCACAGCAGTATTAGCTGGGGTAGATTGAAATTGCTTTCTCCTTTTTTCAGTAGAGAAAAACTCATAGGTGTCAGTGTAAATCTGAATCTGCATGCACGTGTAGAGACTTCAGCATATAATGTATTAACATGAAACATTTTTTGGAACATTTTGTTGCTCTTTGGGACAATTAAAGAGAAATGGTAGTAGAGGAGAAAGTTCAAATGGGATTTTGACAAAAAAAAGACAAAAAGAGGTTTTATCCTCTGACTGCTGTTTCTTTGTGCTTTCTCTTATCTTTTCAGTCCCTATATTTCTGTCGGTACCAGCAGTAGATAACTGTCTGCAAATCTATTGTGGAGACTCAATGACCCTGACACTCCTCAGACAGCCTGTCACACATGACATCCATGGCAGGGTAACATGCAAAAGTAATATTTTAGTGCTGCTCGGGGGTGTGAAAATATTTTTCTTTTTGTCCTGTAGAGACTAAAGGACATTACAAACGAGTTATTGTTGTGTCATTGACTTGTTCGTATTTGTATTTGTGTATTTGAATAATCAGTGTTGAGTGTTGTCATGTAAATAAGTTGCCATAGCTACAGGGAAGATATTTAAAACCATGTTTAAGTGGTTACAGTTAATACATAGAGACCAAATGGGATTCTCCCAGCACTGCTGCCTCATTTTGTTGCATCACATTATTTTAACAACTGCAGGACTGGTGCATATCAGAGCCTTCAGTTTACAAAACTACTGAGGCAATCATAAGAGGCTTAGCATGAATCTGTTGCACCAAGATACCCTGTGGATCTCTCAAAGCATGGCCTTTTTTACTTTTTCTTTTTTTAAATTTTGGCATTCCTTCATTAAAAAAACAGTTTACCCTTAAGGTTAATGTAGGAAGTATGTGCATTTGTGCCCATCTCTCTTTCCTTTTGGTAGCTTTCAAGGTTTCATAAGGCTGACAGTCAATTAAAGCTACAACTGTAACAGCAGAGATCCCAAATCTCTCTGCTTCTACAAAGCAAACAGTCGATAACTTCTTGCACTTCTTTTCTGTTGCCTTAGAATTGAAGATGCTCTTATCCACTGTACATCTTTGCATGAATAATGAATTCAATTATTCAGTGTGAAAGATTCAGTGCTTCTAGAGATAAGTACTGCTCCAGCTTTAAGAAGCTGCCATTATGGACTTCACTAAACAACGAATAAACCCATACATCCCAACATGGCATGGAAATCAGTGGCTGGTGAAAACTAGAGCATTAAGCAGCACTAAATGCAGACGTTTGAACCTTTATTCACACCCTGGCTGCAATTTGTGCACAATGCAAATTTGTAGGCGACAGTGGGAACATAACTGTCTTCCACTTGATTTAAAGATGTCAAAGCTAAGAGACAGCCAAGCGCGGTTAGTGATGCAAACAGCACTTTTATCTAAAAAACAGCAACAACAAAATCTATGTATCATGCAAAATCCATGGGGCGTAGTGTGCAGGCAACAACAAGATAAAAATATAATGGACCTGTGATATGAGTCAAATTCAGCAAGGGATTTTTGTGAGTTTGCAGTGGACAAGGATGTTCAATATAAGCGTGTTTCAATACAGAGGAAGTGGCTGATATCCTGATTGCTAGTTTAACACTTATTTAACAGAATTATAGATTATAAATGTGTATGATGTATATGATATAAATGTAGCCTGTCAAGTCTTCTGATTATAACATCTGCAATGTTCAGCGAAGTCTGTTTCTCTGCTTAAACTGATTACAGAGTGATTAGAAAATAGTGACCATG